CCACGTTTCATGTGAGACTGCTTCCTCTTTTTAGTGTTCAATGGTGGGTTTTCCCGTGTTTCTTATAGAGACATCTTTTACTTTTTTAATTGCTATTTACTGATTAGATCAGTTTTATGGTTCTTTTTATTTATGTAAAATAATAGATTTAGAAGCTATCTCCAGTATGAAACTTACTATTGGTCATTTGAATGGACTTAATTATCTCACTTGGTTGAAAGTTGTTTCTTGTTCTCTATTTGAAAATTTTAATTGGAACACATAAATAAGAAAAAAAACATGAATCTTGATTTCAGAACCCCTGAAGAAAGTACTGAGAAATCTTTTTTGGTGGCTAATAATGAAAAATATGAAAAAAAAATGCCTCAAAATAGTGGTAATAAGACAACAAACAAATCTACCGCTCAGACTGCAACTACTCAAACATATCATTGCAAGTGTGATCATTATCAGCAATCAAGTAATAAAAATGGTTCTTTCGCCACACATGATTCTTCTTCTTTATTCCCGGATACAGGTAACCTCTATACTCTCACATCTTCCTGTGACATTTTTCCTTGGGTAATAGACTTAGGGGCTACATATCATATGACTGCTAACTTGCAGTAGTTATCTAACCTCAAAATAATAAAAATATGAACCATGTGTTTATTGCTAATGGTTCATTGATTCATGTCCATAGTGTACGTAAGACCAATTTCTTTCCCAAGTCACAAAACTCCAAAGTTCTTTTTATGCCATTATTTTCCTCTAACTTGATGTTTGTTAATAAAATTACTTAAAGCATCAATTGAAATGTTATTTTTTCTCCCAACTCTGTGACTTTCTAAGACCGGGTCACGAAGAGAAATATTGATGAAGAAAGACTATCTCATGGCTATATTTATTCAATCAAGAGAATAAGGCTTTGGTTGTCATTCAAGAGAATTCTGATGTTAACCAATTGTGGCATTGGAGATTTGGACACCCTTCAGATAAAGTTTTGAAAATCTTTATGCCCTCTCTATCTTTAAATGTATATTTCAAATGAACTATTTTATTTGATACATTCTGATGTGTGGGGACCATCCCTAATTGTTTTTTATTCCGGTTTTAAATATTTTGTTACTTTTATTGATGATTAGTCTCATGCTACTTGAATATACTTATTAAAATAAAAAATAGAAGTTGTCCCTGTGTTAACTAATTTCCATTCAATACAACGACAAGATTAGAATTTTAAGGACTGATAATGGTACATAGTATATGAACAAAGATTTTTCTAAGCATTTATTGAACTTTGGTATTATACACCCTAAACATCATGTGTCGGAACATCTCAGCAGAATGAAGTTACTGAAAGGGAAAATAGACACCTTTTGAAAGCTACATGGTCTTTGATGTTTCAGATACATATTCCAAAAATTTATTGGTTTGAAGTTGTTTTAATTGCTTGCTATTTGATTAACAGAATTCCAAGTAAAATTCTTAAAGATAAATCTCCCATTGAAATTTTGAAAAATAGAAAAATTGATTTGTTCTCATTTTGCAAGTATTTGAATGTGTGTCTTATGTTCATGTGGCTGGGTACAACTAGGATCAACTTGATAAACATTCCAGTAGATGTATCCTTCTTGGATACTTATTTACTCAAAAGGGATACAAATATTATGATCCTACAACCAGAAAAATGCATATTTCTAGATATGTTCAATTTGTTGAAACATAGTCCTATTTCCATAATACATTGGAGAGTAGTTTGGAAAATAGGACTCAGGTTGGTCATTTGCCTTTGCCTAATATCCAGACCAGTGATGTGTCCAACAGATCCGAAACAAGTTATGATGATAAAGTCGAAGCAGAAGATACATCTGAAACTCACTAAACTTGTTTAGAAGAAGAAGACTCTGCTGAGGCCGTGGCCCCGCCTAATCTCCCCTAGCGCAGTTCTTCTCGTATCTCACATCCTTCCTCTAGGCTTTAAGATTTTTATACTTACCATCCTTCTTCTAGGCTTTAAGATTTTTATACTTACCATGTTGTTTCTTATCTTCAAAATCATATTACCTATGAAAATATCTCTTCTGACTATTTTGCTTTATTTAGTTCTATTTCTAATAATTCTGAGCCAACCATTTTCAAAATATTATTTATCAACTTATGTAGAGGAAGGCTATGAAAGAAGAATTTCAAGCACTTGATAATAACCGTACTTGAGACATTGTCAAGTTACCTAAAGGGAAAAAAACAATTGGATGTAGAGGAATTTACAAAGTCAAATATATTAGTGATGTATTTGTTAAGAGACATAATGCCATGTTGGTGGCCAAAGGATTTACTCAAACTTATGGAGTCGACTATAAAGAGACTTTTGCACCACTTGTTAAGATAAATACCGTTTATGTTCTTTTGTCTATCGCAGTTGATTGTGGGTAGTCTCTGCATCAGATGGATGCTAAAAATGCCTTCTTACATGGTGACCGTTCATGTTCTTTTGTCTATCGCAGTTGATTGTGGGTAGTCTCTGCATTCGATAGATGCTAAAAATGCCTTTTTACATGGTGACCTTGAAGAAGAAGTCTATATGAGTCTTCCTCTAGGCTATTCTAAAGAAAATGAGAAATATTTTTTATGCAAGTTAAAGAAGGCTTTATATGGACTTAATCAATCACTTCGCGCATGGTATGCCAAACTCAGCACAACCTTGATCATTGTTGGATTTCTTAGAAGTTTAGTTTATTCTTTGAAGTTCACAAAAAGAGGAACTTCAAGTGCAACAATTGTACTGATTTAAGTTAATGATATTATCATTACAAGTAATGATAAAGAAAGCATCATGAAACTTACAAATTATCTTCACAAGAACTTTGACATCAAGGATCTTGGTCAGCTAAAATATTTTCTCCGCATTGAAGTAGCACATTAAAAAAATTGACTATTCATTTCTCAAAGGAACTATGTATTAGATATGTTGAAAGAAACTGAGAAACTAGGAGTCAAACCCGTTGATACTCTTGTTGACATTAATCGCAAACTTAATTCAACAAATGGAAAACATTTTGAAGATGTGGGCTGAGTTCAGATACTTGTGGCCATATAGATTTATTTGATTGTGACACGACCAGATATAATGTATGCGGTTAGTCTTGTGAGCTAATTTATGCATGCTCCTAGATCATGTCATATAGAGGCCGTTGATAGAATTATGAGATATCTTAGGTCCTCATCCGGGAGAAGTGTTTGGTTGAAACCGAATGGTTATACTACTATTATTGGTTATTTCAATGCTAACTGAGTAGGTAGTCCAATTGACAAGAGGTCCATTACCGGTTATTGTACATTTGTTTGAGGAAACTTAGTTACTTGGAAAGGCAAGAAATAAAATGTAGTTCCTCGATCCAGTACAGAGGCCGAATATAGAGCTATTGCTTCAACTACAAGTGAATTGATGTGGCTAAAATGCCTACTTCGAGATATACGGTTCCCAATGGTCGATCTAATGAAGATGTTTTGTGATAATCAAACAGCTATGCATATAACCTACAATCCACATTTTCATGAAAGAACCAAGCACATAGAAGTTGATTGTCACTTTGTAAGAGAAAATGTTCAGTAAAAAATTATTAGTACTCATTATTTTCAAAGTGAAGACCAACTTATAGACATGTTTACCAAAGCTATTGCAAAGACAAAATTTCATCACATACTATCCAACTTGGGCTCTATTGATATCTACGCACCAAGTGTTGACAGTTATAGGAACCAAATATTAAGTTTCATATATTGTATATTACAAAATATTAAATTTTCTATATTGAGTTTCCTATTTTGTGGGATTACTATTAGAATGAGATTTATTTCCTAAAAGGCAAGAGTTGTAACTCTATAAATCTCTGGTAAACCAGAGTAATCCCTATTAATAAGATATTGGTTTACCCTCCGTGGACGTAGGCACCATTACCAAACCATGTATATGTGTTGTTGATTTTTTTCCTCTATCTCATCACTATATTTTTTATTGCAAATTCTACATCTGCGAATAACATACACCATGATAATTCATCTTGTAGGTGCCTAGTTAAGTCATCAACAACTAAAATAAAGAGGTATTCACTTAATGCTGATCCCTGATGTATATTTATTATCATTGAAAACTCACTTGACTCTCCATTAGTTGTTATGTACCAACAAGTAAAATGTATCCTTAACACTAAAAGTAAAAGGTATTAATTGCATAATATCCCTTTTGAAGCAGTGCTAGATAATAGAAAACTTGAGTGTTGAAGTTTCTGTAGGGCCTAAACTTAATGAAAACAAAATAAAGCCTCATCTCAAATCCTTATCTGCAAAGTATTTTCAGCAATGAAAATATCTATGATGGCTCTAAAATCAATTTCCAACACCAACAATAGAATTTGAAACTAAAATGGACACCTATTTTTCTAGCAAAATGGATAATTTAAATAATTTGTTATAATATACACTATTTTTAGAGCTTGAAATCCTAATTTTTCTTCCGTAATCATAACGTTTCAATCCAAGATGATCTATGTAAAATTTTTCCAATACTTAAATTATAAATTTCGATGAGTTGTAAGGTGAGGCTTTAATAGGGCTGAGGCCCTATCAAACCATTTTCCAAATGAGTGCCCCTTACGTTCTCATTGGAATGATCTGCGCAGTTATTTATCGGCAACAATATATCGTTTTAAAGCTCATACGGACCGTTATTTCTTTGGGCGAGTAAGGTGAGAGAGAGAGAGAGAGAGAGAGAGAGAGAGTAGTTTTACCTGCTGCGTGGTCGCCGTCGTTGTTCGGCGGACGGGAAGGAACGCGGTAGGGACGGCCGGGCCGGACCGTAGGTCGGGTCGGTTAGGTTACTTCCGTTACCGTTACTACCTAACCC